CTTACTCAATCGGTCCACAACCGTGAGGATGCCATCGTGCCCGAGCCGGTCGCGAGGAAACGGACCGGTGACGTCCATGGCAATGGAGAGACCGGATTCCCGTGGGATAGGCATCGGGTGTAACTCGCCGTAGGGATTGCGGTTGCGGGGCTTGCTGCGTCGGCAAACTTCGCAAGAGTCGCAATACCGAGTGACATCGGTAATGAGGTCAGGCCATCGGAATCGCTGTCGAAGCCGTGCAATAGTGCAGTTGACTCCGAAATGGCCGGCGAGTCGTGAATCATGATACTCGCCAAGGAGGCGAGTCCAACGACGATGGTCGCGTGGGACACATAGTAAGTCCTTGCCTCTCGAGTGGAGGAGCAAGTACCCGTCGGCAATGCGGTAATTGCTGGCCGGCGGGTGATCCAAAGATAGCTGTGCATAGAGCGTGCCGAAGTCCGGATCAGACTGATATGCCCGGATGAAGTGTCACTGAAGCTCCTCATCGAATGCGAAGGCATGATGTGTCATAGCGCAAAGATCGGGTCTTCGCGAGAGTGCATCTGCTGCGCGATTTGAGAGGCCGGGTAGATGTTTCGGTGTGAAGTCAAATTGGCCGATGAAGTACATCCATCGTCCGATCGTGCTGCTCACCGTATCCTGCATCTTGTAGTAAGTCAATGGATTGTTGTCCGTGACCCATGTGAACCTACGACGCCCAAGGAGGAAGTGCCGCCATCGCTTGAGAGCCATGACGAATGCGAGCAGCTCCTTCTTCCTTGCATCATCAAGCGAGTTGATGGGAGGCACTTTGTGGCTGAAATACTCCACAGGGTGCCAGTCGTCGCCGTCGTGCTGTTCCAAGACTGCCCCAATGCCACAGCCGGAAGCGTCCGTAGTCACTCGCGTCGGCAGGGTGGGGTCATAGATGCTAAGGACGGGTGCCATGAGCATAGCCGTCTTAAGTGCTTGGAATGACCAGCGTGCGGCGTCATCGAATACGAATGGCACCTTTGGCGACTGTAACCTCGTCATAGGTGCAGCAATCCTCGAGTATCCGGTTATGAATCGCTGATAGTAGCCCGCCAATCCCATGACTGAACGAACGTCCGTGGTGTTGGTGGGCTCGGGCCATACTCGTAGGGCCTCGATCTTGTCCGCAAGCGGACGGATGCCTTGCGGCGTCACATAGTGTCCCAAGTAYTCCRGCTCCTGCYRYGCGAAYTCGCASTTGTCGCGGTTGGCTTTGTACTTGGCTTGTCGTAGCCGCTCCAAAACGGTGCGCAGGTGTTCCACATGCTCGTCCAAACTCCGACTATACACCAAGATGTCGTCGAGGTAGATGAGTACAAACCGATCCAGCATGTGTTGGAACTCCGTTGTCATAGCCGCTTGGAAAGTGGCTGGGGCATTCGTAAGGCCAAACGGCATGACCAGCCATTCGAAATGCCCATACCGTGTCTTAAACGCGGTCTTGTAGCGATCGTCCTTGCGAATCTCGAGTTGGTGGTACCCTGACTTGAGATCCAGCTTAGAGAAGAACTGGGCGCCGCCCAATCGCTCGAGAAGGTCGTCGATGCGTGGGAGAGGGCCGACGTTCCTGATCGTCTGCGCGTTGAGCTTGCGATAATCGATGCACAACCGCAGGTCCTTGTTCTTCTTCCGGACGAAGAGGACAGGAGCACCGTATGGCGATGAGCTAGGCCGAATCCAACCTTTCTCTAGAAGATCGTCGAGTTGTGCACGGAGCACACTTAACTCTTCCTCGCTCATTCGGTAGATGCAGCCGCACGGAGGTACGACCCCGTCCTCGAGGATGATCTCGTGGCGGATGGGCCGATCCGGTACTACTCCGTGCGGGCCTTCGAACAAGTCGCTGTAGGCGTCGAGAAGTTCGGTGATGCGTGGATCCGAAGATGAGTCCGTCGATGAAGCGTCTCGGGGCGGGAGGGCGTGGAGAAAACACCCCCCCATCTCCTCGATGTCGTCTCTGATGATGGATGCTCGCATGCTTGCGGCGGATACCACATGGCAGCTGATGGAAGGATGAGGAAGAGGTACCGTGCATGGAACTAATACTCCGTTCCGATCACGAATGTGAACGGTGCGGTGGAAGAAGTTCACCGGGTGATCCTCGCTTCGCAGCCATGACATGCCCAAGATCATGTCAAATTTGGTGTCCAGGATATCAAAGGACACCGCCTCACTTGCGTGAGGGGCAAAGTACACGGGGACGACGTCAATGCACCGGTCAATGGACTTGTGCGTATGACCGTCTGCCAAAGTTGCGTAGGCTGGGACTTCCTCCGGACACGTGGACCAAGGCCGGCGCGCACCATGAAGTCCTGGCTGATGTAGTTGCGAGATGCTCCGCAATCGATCAAGGCGTTGCAGGTCGCCTCTCCGATCTGAATGCGAGCAATGGTGCGTCGATGTCGTCCTACCGTTGCGTCTTGAACTCGCGGTCGATCTTCGCAATGTAAGCGTGAAGGTCAACAACCTCTACTCCGACGTCCATCAACGGAGCTGGTACTGCAGTGTGCAAGTAATCTCGCAATTGTGCCATGAGCACATTACAATGCGGTTTCGGCAATCGTCCAGTCAGAGGAACGGACATCCACTGGAAGTCCGTGAACGTCAGTGGGTCGAGCACCTTAAGTCTTGACCACGACGATGAATCCCCGACGATAGATAGCGGCGAAGCTGCCGAATCGGTTGCCGATAGTGATGAAACCGTGCATGCGGTAGATTGTTGCATCCATACTTCTTAAGTCGTTCTGTGAGCTAGTCACGTGTCGTTGTGCTCCCTTGAGCCGTCGCGAAGATGCGGTTGATGGCGAGCGCAGGCGCGTCATCCACTATGAACCGCTTCTTCTATTCCTTTGTCATATCCTCGCAGGAGACCTTCTTATCCAGGTCTGAAACCTGGACGCCGTGGATGGTTGCCATGTGGCTGAGCCAGATTTGACATCCTCCCTTGGTGTTGATGAACAGAGCACTGATGAACAGATG